CATTGGTATCTAAGTCTTCCGCTGTGCTATTTTATACTTTGTATTGAAAGGTCGGTTCTTGTTCTGGTCTGCACCTATACGGTATGCAACACAGTCCAGATCCTCCTCCTCCTCGCCCTCACTCCCACAGTGCCACAATCAATGTGGATATGGCCACGTCACCAAAATCCCCCCAAGGTTGTCACCTGCGCACAGAAGAATAGCATCACCATAGAGCTCCGGCAGCCTTGCGTCGTCGCACTAGCATCAAGCCAGCGTCAAGCAAAACACACAAGACAGAATGATCTCAAGCAGGGGCTGGGTCAACTTATAATGTTGACTCACGTTGACCACCCTCTGGTCTCCTGGGTACGGCCTGGATATACTACAGTTGCAGAATTCCCGCGTGTCCAACTTGGACCAGATTCTTCTGGATACCTGCAGACAACCAGTGATGTGTATCCGATCTACGGCCTAGGCTGACCAGCGGGTTGACTTTGACTTCTGGGCCTGGGTTCCCTAGTTGGGGTGACCGTTGACTTTCCCATGGTCAACTGCTTCACGTAGCCTTGCCCTGGGTACCCCATGACATCAGGCCTTCGTTCAGGCATTAGCAGGACTTAGGTGTTGACTTTGACCCCTGTTTCGGGCCTTCGACCAAAAGTGACGGCCCCACAGCCCACGGCCAATGCAGATTTGAGATGAGTTATTGCATGTATGGGAACCTCTATGGAAAAGGAGACACATCATAGTGCTCAGAAAGGAAGCAGTACAAACAACAGAGAACCTTACCTCCATTTCAATCAAATGTGTAATCATTGTCTCTGCTGGCATAAGCCCTTCTCGCAAAAAGCCCGCAACCACCTCCTCAAGCCGACGCCTCAAATTTGGGAAACGTTGAATCTCGAAGGTTTCACACCTGTGCATTATCTTCGTACATAAATTCAAGGCACGGTTAGAATGCACAGCATGGTTGGCAGAGGCAGAGTCATCTTTCAAGAAAATTCTCCGCGTGGCTATTCGCTTCCACCTCTTCCAATCAACCATTATACACGCATGTTGCTGCACATATTCCTGAAATCCATCTCAGCTACAACAACGACTGGACAAAATGATAGAAATGTGCCGAGAGCCCAGCGAACTGAGACTTTCAAGTGAAATTTACAATAGTGTGCTCAGTATCCTATTAGCACATCCATGTGCACTTTCCCGTACCTTGTTACAGAAAGATAAAACTGCATTGCACCCCTTCGGCATTTCTGAATGAGCTTGCACATCACACTCAGAAACGGGGATGTGTACGCTAACAACTTCCACAGGGAAGACAAATGTAAGCAGACCATTGCAAAAATTTCCAGCATCTATGAGACAATGAGATTTCTCATGCATTGTCTATCACCAGGCCAATAAGAACTTCGGAATTTCAACCCAGTTCCAGGTAATTCCTCATCAAAGAATTCAAATAAAACTACAAGACGAACCCACTCACTTCTATTAAAATGAAAAAATTCAAATAAAAGTAGCACCGTGAGTAGATGTGTGAGGGCTGATGGGCTCTAACACCGCCAAGATGGAAAGGGGGAGTGAGGTCAGCATAGGCTGGTTGGCCAGTTTCGCCAGTCTTGCTCGGCGCATCCGGGTAACAGCCAACAACCAGTGGGCCCTGCTTCCCAGCTTTCTACAGACCAGTCTGGCGGGTGGGTAGATCATCAATGGGAAACAACTCAGATGATTCAAACCAAATGTGCAAGAGCAGCAAGTACAGAATGCACTTGCTGCCAAGATGATGTTCCCGTGCAGTGCATGCTACCGAGTAGTATTGCCCCAGCTAGCACCCCGAGAGCTCGGCAGCACCAGCCATAGATAGCACTCGTGTGTGTGTGTGTGTGTGTGCGTGTGCGTGTGTGTGTGTGTGTGGGTGTGTGCGTATGTGTGTGTGTGTGTGTGTGAGAGAGAGAGAGAGAGAGAGAGAGAGAGAGAGAGAGAGAGAGAGAGAGAGAGAGAGAGAGAGAGAGAGAAGCGGAGAGGGGGTTGGACCTGGGAATTGGAGGTCCTTGGGCGATGGAGGGCTCTATGTGGGAGGAGGAGAGTGACTCACTGAGGTGGTCATAGTCAAGCTAGCTCCGTTATTGTACATTTCTTGATCACCAGAGGTGACATGGCGCTGCCCTGGAGGCTGGGATGATACAGCCCGTTGCCATCCCGTTTCTTGAGGCTGCCAAGATGCAGCAGCACATTCCAGACATGTTTGCTGCCGCACTGCAGCATCTTGTGCTGTACAGTCCAGACCAGTGCTGCCATAGCCAGTGCCTGAAGATGGAGGCAGCACCATCCATGGTTGGTGCTAGCACTCGAGAAGAGGTTGAAAGGAGGGATGTGTGGGGGAGGAGAGTGCCTGAACTGGGTGTTCGTAGTCAAGTGAGCTCCAGGATTGCACACTTCTCAATTTGACATCAGCGGAAGAACCATTATGCCAGGCTAGTCAATCATGCAAGTGGTCGAATCGGTGGGTCGATAAGAGGGAAGACCAGGAGGCAAATCACTGTTACGTTTGCCGACGTTGTTGTTGTTGTTTTGACTGGTAGAGACGAGACAAGGGGTGTTCTTCATTAAGAGACTTCACCCTTACCTCTCCCACTGTCTCCATGAAGAGTCCTTGGGTTGTCAAACATGCATCTCTACAATTCATCAACTGTGGGATGTGGCAGAAAAATGTATCTTTACAATTTTGCAAAACATTGTGGAGTTATGTGTCTGATCTCCAACTGGTGGTATGATATTTAAGATATCAGTAATGACAACTCCCCTGATGAGCCGTTCTGATATTCCTAAGTGAGAGCACGTTAGCTATAGCAGGAATTACCAGGCTGCCATTACAGGAACCACTCTTCAGAGTCAGAAGACGTGCACAAAGTAGGATCTTAGAAGGCCTTCCGCACGAACACGCCACACTCCATCCCATACACAGAGCCTAGAAAAAAAGGAACTGGAGACAAAGAATCATCACCAGGCCAGGGAGGGATCAGCCAGAACAGTGGTCGGGGAAGTAGTCGATCAGGAGTCATACCTTCACAAGCTCGTCGTAGACAAACCGGGCACACTGCAATGCAGGATCCAGCAACCTTGCTATCTGACGCCTTACAAGTACCTCAAATGGGACCTGCTATACATTCAGCCATGCAGACATCCAGCCACCCAGTCAAGCGAAAGAAATTGTCTCCAGAGCCTAACCTTGCCTTCTCTCCCTAAGGGGAAGGAATCCTGCAAATGAGACTTCAACCATATTCTCTCCATCCTCATGCCCACAGTCTCTACCATGTCAGAGTCACAAAGCAGCTAAAACTGTCTTTCACTCCACACTGTCATTCCCAGCTTCTACTCGACATGAAAGGAGATGCAATCAGACTCGCTTTCACTTCCACTTCACATACATGCAAACAGATGGAGATTCACACTGGCGCAGGGCGCCTACTCAAAGCTTAGAGATATGGAAATCAAGAACACAGTTCAGATGCAAGTTCACTTCAATAGGCTATGGCGCATCGGCGCCTGAACATCCCAACCTTCGTCACTGTGTCCCCACTCTTCACACTCGCTCACTCTGGATCACCCTGAATACCACCACACACACACACTTAGTCTCGCTTCCTCCTACAGCGGCTATGGCCGCACTACCACTACTGACTAGGGCTACGATCTCCCTTTTCGGGCAACCTGCAGACCACCTTCACACAAGACGCTGTAGCAGCACTTCCGCATGGCTTACGCAGCGAATGAATGAATGGCTGGGCGCTGCCTCTTGATTTATACTTCTGTAACTCGTTGGTCTGGCCCCCTTCCCAGGCCCTTGGTGCACACAGTCCCACACGGTACTTGCTTGACTGGACTCTTGACTGACTGGGACCGGTACCGCTGACTGCATGGGTTTGCACTGCCAACTCGATGCAGTCGCACTGCCGACGTAAAGCAGTTGGGTTCACCACTTGCCCACTTGCCTCTGACTAAACGTGAGCGACTTCAAAAGGCCACTTCCGGACCTTCCGGAAGTCTGTGGACTTGGCCTTTCGGGTACTGTAGCAGCTACGACCTTGACCTTTCAGGACTGTAGCAGCTACGACCTTGACCTTTCAGAATACCTACAGCTACGACCTCTACAAACCTGTGACTCCTAATTGACAGACCTACAGATCGAACCCCTACCACTACACAGACCTACGACAGACGACAAACAACTGCCAAAACACAGATCACGGGTTCAAACACTCGGGTGTCGACTCGATACTGTACATGGGCAAAGTGATGTCTGGGGATTGAACTCTAGGGCCCGCATCTGTGACTGCAGAAAGGTGAAAACCGTTTCAGAGATCAAGAACGCAATCATATATGCCAGTCACAACTGGGGCCAACTGTCAACATCTTTTTCGCTTTAGCAGTGAAAAGGGAAGAGCATCAATGAGGACTCAGATAGCCGACACGCATGCAAAGAGCACACATGGAATTGCAATGTTCTTACAGTTTCTCAGCAAGCTGTGACACTACATCAACAGGTGTTACGATCCCGGTCAATTTTGAAGTGCAAAATCACGAGAAAGTCCAATACCCTCCAATTGCAAAAAGAAACGAATGAACTTGAGAGGGGAAAGAGGGATAGAAGAAGATGAAAGAAAGAAGAAGAAGATGTAGAACAGCAAAGACCAATGATAATTCCTCTTCTTCTCGCCGACCAAACTCCTCATTTTCTCCTCCCCTCTTATTCAACAATAAATAACAATGATAATGATGAATGGCAGAACCAGAATCAACGTCTGAATCCCTCTTCTATTGCCAGCACAACTGGAGGTCCACCATAGCCATGGTCGCTCTTCTCCTTCCTCATCACTTTGGCCGACCCTATGGCGGACTACTAAGGGCCTTGCCCTGACGTGCAAAAGACAATGCAAAGCAGCTATGGCCACTTATACTCAGGGCGTTTTCCCAACTCTGCCTCAAAGCTTCTTGGTGCAGCTCTGCCCCAACGGGGGCCCAGCGCCCACCAAGGTGATGAAAATGGCGTCCACCATAGCCAGGTAAATACCCCTGGCACTCCCCTCTCCTAGTCCCTTCTTCCTCCTCCTCCTGCCCGAGCTCCTCCACCATAGCCAGGTAAATACCCCTGGCGCTCCCCTCTCCTAGTCCCTTCTTCCTCCTCCTCCTGCCCAAGCTCCTCCACCATAGCCAAGGTGGAGAGCTGGGTGCTCCTCCTTCCCCAGCAGCGGTGCTCCACCACGCGCTCCAGCAGCGTGTCGCCCAAACTTGCATGCAGCAAATGATGAAGAGCTCTTCCTGGTGATATAGTGAGGCAGCAGCCTCCTTGCGCGGTGACTTCCAGGCCGCGCGGACTCCAAGCAACCGGTACCTCCTCCCTTTCGAAGGAAAACACCATTGCAGGCTCTAATATCGTCCGCACAGGCCCTAGACTCAGACTACCTGGACTGGTATTCACCTAGACCTAGCCTACCGCTGCTGGGCCTCTAAAATGCTACTTTTGTCTTCTTCTGCTCGGCCTCCAGTTCCCGACACATCTAGTGACTCGAGTGGTACCGGGCTACCTACTACTTGAATGTTTTCCCCTGCTGCTCTAAGTGTCCCCGGCCTACTCCTGCCACTCGAGTGTTTTCCCCGCTGCAACCCTCAAAGTCACGGCCACAGGTAAGTACCAGCCCTGCGGGTCCCTCCAAACAAACAAGTGCCCTTGCGGGTCACACACGCACTCGCGCCGACAAGCACTCAGACAGGCATGCACACACACAGACTTAGACAACTCAGCAGAAAGTGGGAATCTCGGCTAGGCATTCATTCTAGTGGCAAAACTCAGAAATCAGCTGTGTTCTCAGTCCATGTTTGGGCAGGTCCTTACACAGGAACATTTCCCTAACCTGCTGCTGGAAAACAGCACTACTGGCCGTCAACTCTGTTTTAGGCCTAAACGGACTGCTGCTTTGTTACTGCCTCAGATCGGTATCGCAGATCGGTACCATTGTTTCTGGCAAACACAGACACATAACTGTTAGCCTTGTCCTAGGTCCTAGTGCGGCAGGTTAGTGCAGAACTATAAATAGAGTCAGTCCGGACTGCTGGGGATCTTTTGGTCTTTTCACCAGATCCTACTTGGTTGTCGAGCTTCCGCTGTGCATATCTCAGTTCAATTTGGTGTGCATTCCCTCTCGTGATGAGCCACACCCAATTTCACCCTCAAACAGATATGCAACCATGAAAGTTCACACGAAGATTCACACCACACCAGAATATAGAAAACCCAACTAGAACAGCTTGAGAAATTTCAAAGATTCATCATACAGTACAATTGAGAGTTCAGGAAACCGGCAGACAGGGACGCTCCTGGCAGGTATGCACTCGACTCTCCTCCTTACCCTGTGCCTCTCTCTCTCTCTCTCTCTCTCTCTCTCTCTCTCTCTCTCTCTCTCTCTCTCTCAACTACCCTAGATCATAACCCTGAATACATCGCTCAGACTCGTCTTCATCTTTGGCAGCTATGGCCGCCGCCTACTCCGCTACTCAACCCTAGCTACGGAGTATCCAAGGCACCTTCTTCCTCCTCAAGGAGCTCTCTGCCCAGGTCGCACAGTCACACACGCCGCCAGCAGTGCTTCTGCAATTGGTGAATGGACAACCACCCCGGCACTGCACTGTAGCAGCTATAAATAGGAGCTTGTCTTCATGAGGCCTGCTCCAGACCAGTACCCTTAGCCTGCGGCCTGTCTACTGCATCATTTCGGTGGTCCAGCAAGTTCCGGGCTTTCCTGGGATGCAGCTGCAAAATTGGACTTGGGATTTTCTTGTCAGGGACAGGAGTGGACTTTTACCAACGTGACTCTTCGGCTACTGGCCAAACACTACCTGTGACGCTTCGACCTATGGACTACTGGACCCTACAGACCCTAGCCTGGGACTGGGACCAACTGGGACTCTGGAACCGGGACTTGGGGTGCTTGCAGTGTGAAATCCTTTCACTCTCCAGGTCTACTTTGTCAGCTTGTGTGGGTATGGGTACATGTGAATGCTCTGCTGGAACGTGACTCAATCAGTCAAATAACAGAATGATCAGACGAGTACAATGGCCCATTCGCACCAAATTTTGTGCTGATTATTCAGGGAAGTTGTGCGACAATGTTCAGTGCCTCAGAAACTGCCGTAAGGAAAATGAGAAGCACGATAAGAGATAAGAACACCCCACCTCTGGGACAAACAACACATTCTTGGGGCCAGTTGCATTCTGGATGGCAGTCCGGATATCTTCATCTGAAAGATCCTCACAGGGGTTTACCTCCTGTGACACAACAACAGCAAAAACACACATATGTACCCTCTTCAGGCATTACATTGAAATACCCTCTTGCTCGTTAATCCCTGACCTCACCCTCACCCTCACAAGTATGTAATGCTCCAGGACATTTGCAAGCTTGCAAGACATCGTCAAAATGGGGCAGTATGTCAGACTGCATACATCCCCACAACCGATTCCATTATGCATACATCCCCAGTGCTGACCAAGACGCACACCGGACTGTCAAGATCAGAGGTGCATTAACATCTATTGATTCTATACCACAACTCACAGCTGATCACCACATTGAATGTTAAGTCTTATCTACTGGGACAACGTCTCATGTAGATGACATGAAGTAGCAGGTGCTTGAGGATTTGACAAACTAACACCATCCCTGTGTGGAGCATGCATGAAAGACACCTAGAATGACAAACTCATTCCACGCATCATCGCCTGTCGTGCAAGGAGATCACTGGATTTAGCCAGTCCTTGAAAAACACATACCTTGTAGAGAAATCACCAATGCCGCACAATGTTTCAAGTGGAAAGCTTTACGTCAAGCATGTGATTTGCCACAAGCAGATTTGTGGATTCAACGAAGAGTCATGAGTAGCGATATGCCCATACTACCAGGACACAATCGTGACTTCCAATATGCGTTTACCATGTGCCTTTCATAGCAGCTGGGTGCTTCTGATTAAACCACTATCGTCTTCACCGAAAAATGACAAACGAGCGTTATACTCCACTCACCCCAAAAAAGTAAGATTTTTTTTTTACACACCTCTTTTTGAATGACATGACCCATGTTATATTCAAATAGAGCGCCTGAGAGTAATATTTGAATGTTTCATTGATAGACCCTCAGCCAAAAATTGTTTGCATTGCAATTCTACATAACATCTTGTTTTTACAGTTTCTAAAAGAGCCGAGAGCGTTGAGATATCATCGTGAAACTGACCGGCCTTAGGTAAATTCAGAATTTGCATTCATTTGGTCCTTTCAGTATTCGAACTGGTGTCCGTATTTCAAAAGTTTATACGTGCACCAACTAAGCTTTTTCTTATTTCCAATTTTCAGGCCTTACCAATGTTGCTACTACTACACTGAATACAGGGACGAAGAGTTTCTTCCATACGTCCAGGGCTGCGGGCAAGGCGTTATCAACGAATATAGCCCCCACAGGCTGGGCAGACAACTGTGTGAGATTCAGGCCTTGGCGACAATTCTGTGTTTTTTTTTGAATTGATTGTCTTGTGCTTTTGTCGTGTGTGTGTAATCTGGTGTGAGCACGGTGTGGAAGTGTCGTGAGTGGCCAATCTCAAAGCAACGTCCTTCTATTGACTACTGGAGGCAAGACATGGGGCTTTCTTTGTCAAGAGACTTCAGTGTTCAGTGTGCTCTCATTCTCCGCTTTTGTAATTCTGCTTTGAACTCGTCTTACGCATGGTTGTTCGGCTGCGAGTCATTTGCATCACGGAAATTTTGTCTTCAGTGTTTCCTTGCAACGGGTGGTTTAACATGCAAACTGCACCCCGCCACTCAAAACATGAGAATATCACGATTGTCGCATAGACAAGTGCGCACTAAAGAAGAAGCAAGCTTTGTGTGCAGCTTCATGGTCGGGGATGTACCTCCAAGCTCTTGACGAAGATTGACTGGAAAATGTAATGGATTCGCGCTCCACCCGCCAACTCCGTTGTAGACATATCCTCACTCTTTCCATCCACAACAGATGTGAAAGCTGCAGCATGCTCAAACGACATTACGTCCTCCACCCAAACACCAGCCCCGCCCCCCGCCACCCCCCC